ATCAAAAAATACAAGAAACAACTCGAATTTACTTGACAGAAGAAAGCAATTTCAAAGGTAAACAATGACTGAGAAAAAATAACTTTGAAAATACCCTTCTCAACAATTAATCATCTTTGAAAGAATACTCGAACAATATCAACCGACAGAAAATATTTAAAATATTCCTGAATTACGAATTCAGAAAGTTTTGAGAGCTTAACGGATGATGTGCAAATTATTCTCGAACAAATTTACTAATGTTCATAGTAAAATTTCAATGTTCCATACTCAAACTGAAGAACACAGTTCAAGATGCTTATGAGTTTGTGATAAAGAACATCATATCTGTTACAAGTAATAAAGTGATGCAATAAATCAATAGATTTTAAAAGTGAAGCACTTTGAAATTATTTTAGCAGGTAACGTTCCTAGCTGGGATGAATGATGATGAATCAAACTGAAATTAGACACGTCAAATAAACTGATTACATCAGAAGATTCCATGACATCAGCTCATAACAATCAACAAAAATAAGCGATATTATCGAATTGACTGACTGATCCGTGATCACAGATACATCAACAGCAGATAATAGCAATAATAATTACACATATTCATAAAGTTCATACTAATTTTGGTACGGATTGATCAGAAAAGATACATTAGAATATCAATGGAAATAAGCGAACACAGCAACAATCAATTGAAATTTAAAGTAACAAAATATAAAAGTAAGTGAAATGGAATGAAAGTGAACGACGACTTGTGAATCGCATTTGACGAGATTTTCATGGCTTTCGGGCAAAAACTCCAAAGTTTTGAAGACGGTTGCGGACTTACGGCACTCATATTAATACTGTGAAACTTGAACACTTCGTTACCAGCAAAGAAGTAGAGATCTGAAATGTTTTCATTTCGTATTGTACAATGCGTCATCTGGATGACTATCTATCGGAACACTTCAATGTGAGGAGGTTTTCTGATTAATTCTTACCGTTACGGAATGTGAACGCAGCGTTTGCTGTTTGTGGTATAAAATGCCACGCAGCATTGATCCTACGTGGATATCCAATTTCTACTTTACCAGATTTCTGAAAGTTGACCGAAATGATTTCAAACCTATCAAAACTATTTGGCGAGGGAGGTCCATCAAGTGGAAATTTATAATTTACAATAATAATAAATAGGCGAATTTCTCAACTAATAACTGAAAATGAGTCCAGTAGACAATGTCAACATCGATGATGTGACTGGGATATTTTCGGCGAGGCGAGGAATATTTATACGAAGCAGGACGGACGAGAAGCGGTTTGATGGATGGCCAATGAAGAAATTTGATTAATCACCCTATCAATTCTCCAGAATTCCTCATCTGTCCAGATATAAATCGGTTTTTCAGTCCAGTAATTCCATTTATAGACCAAACGAATACGACGCACATAGTCAGGTAATCCAATTGCAGTCAACGGACGAACTGACTCCTGCGCACTCCCTCTGTACACGTACAATTTCTTACCTCAAATCGTTTTGTTCACTTTATGTGTTTATCGTTACTCCACTTAACCACCATTCTCATTCAAAGTGTTAGGACAGAGTTCTTTCTGAGAGGTTCAAAATGAATTGATGTTAGATCATCAATTAGAAGGCATTCAAATTGCACACGATCAAGCTTTTGTTTAAGCTATTTTCATCATATACAAAATGAAAATATTCCAAATTCGCCAAGGTTCTTCATTCAGCAACGCAAATTTTGAAGTGAACTGTACGAGACTGCTGCCATCTTATGAATGCAATTTGGATGGAGGATTCGAAGATAATAATTTGCATAATTGAATTAATTCGTTCAATAACTATGCAACTGCTCATCGACAGAAGCTGATATCGAACGGCTATGGGCAAAATATAATGAAACATACTAAAGAATTAATAGAAGGATAATTACCAACAAAGAAAAGTATTCGATCGTTA